AGGGAGGGAAGGAAGTAGCCAGGAACCCTTGGGCTACAGGTTCCCAAGGAAAAGCAAAGACAGAGTCCCACAGTGCGGACTCTGCAGTCTCACTAGCAGCTCTTCCAGAGCCTCTGAGTGCCTCGGCTCTCCAGGGCTCGTGGGCCTGTTCTCTAAGGATTGAATCACTGGACCAGGAGAGCTTACTGGTGAGGAGCATCCTCTGCCCACTTCCTCTGCCTTTTTCCTCCTCCCCCAGTTAACCAGAATGATGAGCATCTGGGAGCCCCTTTCTTCCAGTTGTGTGTTCATGGGTTTCCTGGGATAAGGAATCCTGAGGCCTTTGAGGATTTCCGGAGAGTGGGTACAGTGATCACCTCTGGTCAGGTGGAAGGGAGAGACCCTGAAACTTTTGTTTCCTCTGTCTTGTTTCAAGTGAGAAAACTATTCAACGGTAGTTTCCATGGCACTTTTGGGATGCAGGTAAATAGGTGGTGTCATCCTTTGGGACCGTGCTGGGGGGTAGAGCTAGGGTTTCAGAGGAAGGAGCTAAGATTAGGTGTAGAAGGGGCCGCTTAATTCATGGGGTTTAGTGCCAGACAAAAATGCAGGGCCTCTTAAATTAATCAAGAATTTTAAGAAGGTGACTTGAAACATTAAACCAAGTCCAGGCCCTTCGGAGCACAAGGTCTGTGTGACTTCCCAGGTTGCATCCCATGAAGCTGGACCTGGCTAAGACAGACTTGTGTGTGGGGATGACATTTGAATTGGGTCTGAACAACATCAGTAGGATCTAGACATGTCATCATAAGGTACTTTCCTACATTAAAGTATCTTGAATTTTCTAAAGTAATTATAGAGCTTTAAAAATTATCCTAAGGTAATAAAAATCCACCCCTAGATAGAACATAGTAGGTATAACTCTTGCTGAAACTAGCAAAAAATCTAGATTACCCCCCACAAAATCATACTTCTACACAGTAGAGAACCACAGAAGCAAAGATGACTGGATGAATTGAAATTCGAGGTGAGGAACCATTGGTGAGCTGCTTACAGCCAGCCCCATTTTGCTGGTGACAACTGTCAGTTCTGGGCATGGGCTGAGGATGTGATTGTCCCAGCAGAGCCCCTCAGCCAGGGCCAAAGAGAGCAGTTGAGTTTTTGTTGATTATCCAGGGCTGTGACAAATTGGAAATTTGAGGGCTTTGAGTACATGACCAGTTTTCTCAGAGGACCTCTTCTACGTCCTAGGGCTGCACAGAAGGCTGGGACTTGAGCTGAAAGCTTCTAAACAGCAGAGTGAAACTGTCAGTGGTGTTGCCATGCTTAGGACACATGCTGGGGAAGGGGCCTGCCCCAAGCACACTGCTTCATCTCCCCCGAAGACATCTGCCTGATGTTGAGGCTGTGATGGAGAGCCTGGAAAGCTGGGCAGGGACCCTCTGATGGGAAGAGCAAGACCTCCTACACCCTTCAGGGCCAAAGAACCAGAACTTCCATGCTCTCAACTGCAGCTTAGGAATAACAACCACCCAGAGGTAGAAGGAGCTTACTAAAACTGCCACCTGGTCTTCCTCAGCTCAGTCTCTGAGTAGGGAGAGGGGCCAGTCTCCTCAACCCACATGCCCAACAGGGAAGATGATCCCCTCTAGTAGGAGGGTACTTAGGGACCTTTATTCCCAATTTCTGTTGTTCAAATTTCTAGACATGCAAAGAGGAGAATGTAGCCAAGAATCAAGAGGAACAAGACGTAAGCAGACCTGCTGGACATCCAAATATTAACTCTACAGGGAATGTCAACCCTTCCTCCAGGACACCTCAGATCTCCTCTTACCATTCATATGGAAACAATTCCTCATCTTTTGAGGCCAGCATAAAAATGTGACAAGGAGTTAGCATTAAGAAAAAAAGAGGGAGAACTATACACCAATCCCTCTCATGTAGTTTCAAAGGTTCTAAACAAATTGACAAATCAGATCCAGTGATATACAGAAGTAATTCAGCATTATCTAATAGGTTTTTTTCAAGATTGCAAGAACTATTTTATAAATAAACTCAATGAAATTCACAGTAACAGAGGGAAAAAATCATATGATCACTAGGACATACGTAGAAATAGCATAGCAAAATTACAATACCTTGTCATAGTAAAAAAAAAAAAACATGGCACTAGCAAATAAGGAATAAAACCCTACAGTAAACATTATACTTTACGGTAAAATATTGGAAATGTTCTGAGCTTGGGAAGATGGCCAATATTCCTACTTTCCCTGAACAACGTACTGGAGGCGTGATGCAGCAGGAAAATGTAGAAAGCCTGAGGATTCCAAAGAAAGAAATATGCACAGATGACCTGATTTTATATGCACAAAATCCAAAAGGAGCTACAGACAATGTATAACACTACTTTTTCACAAATTGCTAGGTGTGAGCTCATTTTTTAAAAAGTCAATTGCATTTCTATGCACAGGAAAAGGTAGTAGAAAATGGGATCAGAAGTACTGAGTACACGATATATTTACAGCTGCAATTAATTTTCAAAGTTCACTTAGTGTGTGTACACTTTTCTGAACATTGTACTTAAACAGTTCACTTTAAAAATGAAGGTAAATAGAAGTATTTTTAGTAAAAAAAATACTAAAAAATGTTGTCACCAGTGGACTTGCACTATAGGAGATAAGATTGTTTCTTTTGGTGTGCCTGAAGAAAAATCTACAAAATGAAAAGGCAACTTATGGATGGGAGAAAATATTTGCAAGTCATATCTGATAAGGGGTTACTACACAAAATATATAAAGGACTTATACACATCAATAGCAAAAGAAACCAATTAAAAAATGTGCAGGGGAACCAAACAGACATTTTTCCAAAGACAACATCCAAATGGTCAACAGGTACATGAAAAGATGCTCAACATCACTAATCAGGGAAATTCAAGTCAAAGCCACAGTGAGATATCACCTCACACTTGTTGGAATGACTGTCATCAATAGGACAAGAGATATCAAGTGTTGGCAAAGCTTTGGAGAAAAGGGAATTCTTGTACACTGTTGGTAGGAATGTAAATTGGTACAGACACTATGGAGGACAGTATGGAGGTTCCCCCCAAAATTAAAAATAGAACTGCAATATGATCCAGCAATTCCACTTCTGGGTATATATCTGAAGGAAATGAAAACACTATCTTAAAGCAGTATCTGCACCCCTCTATTCATTGCAGCATCATTCACAGTAGCCAAGACATGGAAATAATATAAGTGTCTGCTATGGATAAGTGGATAAAGATGTGGTATATATATACAATGGAATATTATTCGGCCATGAGAGAGAGGGAATTCCTGCCATTTTGGCAACACGGATGGATCTTGAGGGCATTATGCCAAGTGAAATAAGTCAAAGACAAATATTGTAAGATCTCACTTATACGTGGAATCAAAAAAACCAAACTCATAGAAACAGAGTAGAATGTTGGTTACCAGGGATTGGCGGGAAACGGGGAGATGTTGGTCAAAGGGTACAAACTTTCCGATAGAAGATTAATAAGTTCCAGGGATCTAATGTACAGCATGGTCATTAAAATTAATCTTGTATTGTATACTTGAAAGTTGATAAGAGTGGACCTTAAATTTTCTCACTACAAAAAAAAGGTAATTATATGACAGGATGGAGGTGTTAGCTAATACCACAGTGGTAATCGTTTTGCAATAAGTGTATCAAATCAACATGTTATATACCTTAAACTTACACAATGGCATATGTCAATTATGTCAAAGCTGGGAAAAAACAAGGATGATTTTCAGGAAGAATTAAATGGTTGAAGATTGAAGTGAATCAACAGGAAGCGATGAAGAATGAAAAGTAAATCTAAGCGAATATTGACTTATAATGAAAGGCTGAAATATACGTTGAAATGGTCTACATAAAAGTAAAACATCACCTCGGGAGTAGGTTATTGTCATTATAGTAGTCTAAAATTCTCATGTTTTCTAGGGAAGAGGTCAGAGTCCTAACTTAGACTAGATTTTGATATCAATGTTACAGAAATCCCTAGGATAACTCCTAAAAGACTAAACATTAGAGATTGGAGGGGAAATCAAAATCAACCTGAAGAAAGCAAGAGAGGAGAAGAACAAGAACTCAGAAAGCATATAACGTGATGTATGAGTTAATTGTCAGTAATTGACAATTAAATTACAATGTAATAAGTGTTCCAGTTGAATGTAAATTATGGTCTGAATTAAAAAAAGAAACATGCAGGGCATCTGCTACTGGCCCGCCATATCCAGTCTCCATGCTTCTCCACCCTGCTGTCTGCTCCGGGGCCAACCTACTTGATGCTGGTCGACAGGATCCAGTGCCCTCTGGTGCCTGTCTGGCTAAGGGAAGCCCCAGCAGGGTGTCAGAGAAAGGGAGCGGAGTGCGGTCCAGGCATTTAAAGCCTGGTTCCCCCTGTGATGTTGTGTTGGCTGGCTGTGTCTTGATTTGGGTTCATCTAAATGCACATCCTGAGACAAGTACTTTGATGCTGTAGTTTATCTGGGAGTGAGTCCCAGGAAGCAGGGGTAAGGAAAGAGGAGAGAAGAAGGGAAATAGGAAAAGCACAAAGAGGGCAGCATTAAGGAGGTCCCCACTGCCAGCAACAGGACCTCTCAAAGTCTACCGAGTGCCTCTTGGAATCAGCGACTGAGTACAGGAGTCGGAGCTTTTATCTGCTGGCTCTAGTTCCTTTTGCCTGAAGGTTACCCCTAGAGGAATTAATACCCTTGCTTTTTCCAGATTGGAAGGCCTAGTGGTCTCTGAGCACTGGAGGAGGTACTGAGGCAAAAGGGTGAAAAGTGTGCTTGATATGGATGCTGTCCTCTGTGGACACACATAACACAGACATGGTTGAAACCAGAGTTGGGCTGAGGGGTGTGACATGAGGTGTTTGCAAAAGCAGGGGTGCTGGGTAACAAACTGCTTGTTTCCATGGTTTCTTCTGCTCTATGACCTAGCCTGCTGGGGGTGGGAGACTACAGGAGTGGATAATTTAGGGCATCATGACTGCAGGAGAGTGAGGAAGCAGAAAGGACTAGATGGAAACAGACTCATGTGATTTCAAGGGTATGACTGTGAGTTGCAAGGACTCCTTGAACACCTGAGATGAAGAAACATGCCCGATAGGTAAGGGAAGGAGCAGACGTGGCCAGAGGGTACAGGATAACACAAGCAAGTGGAGATTTTAGATGACCCCAACCAGCTCTCTGGCCCTAGACAACTTTTCAGCTGGTAGGAATAACGCATTAAAAGCTTATTATCAGAAAGAAACCAAAAAGGCCCCTTTCTTCAAAACTGGAGAGGGAGAAGGGAGAATAAAATCACCCAATGTCAGACTTCATCAAAAGCTCAGCCTAGTGAGTTTCTGTACATTCTTGGAGACATTTTAAGATCTAGTAATGTATTTCAAACATTTCTAAAGCAGCAGCGTATCAAGCTAATGGAGTTCAAGAAATTAAGGTGGACAAATGTGTTATAGGAAGAACACTAAAATCAAAGTATAGCATAATTACTACTTCCATCTGGGACTTAACACGTGTCAGGCATTATTCTATGGGCGTCACATGGATTAAAACGTGTAAACTGCATTGACTTCATAGGGTTTTTGTTGTGAGGGTTATCAAGTTTCAGATAGGGAAACAGAAAATGTTAACTACTTATTCAAGGGCATTTCTGTTAAAGCAGAGCTAAGATCTGAACCTAGCAAACCTAGCTTCAGTGCTCTTGTTTTTATGTCCCTCCCTATATTGTAGCTCAACAAACATTAGAAATGTGACAGATAGCCATAGGCAATAAAATTAAGTGGAACATAGCTATCACTAAACTTACACAGGTAGAATTACGAGGCAGGGAGTAAGCCTAGAAGGGGGATTAAGTGAGGATGCCGCTGTAGTGAACAGGGAGAAAAGATAAAGTTGGTTTGAATTTGGATTTAAGCAAGAGATGAAAGAATGGAGACAAATTCAAGAGATTAGAATATGATTAGAATAATCCAGACTTGGCGATGAATTACACGTGTTTGGGTGGCATAATAGAGAGAGGGGAGTCAAGCAGAATAGTTCTGAACTAGCCATCTGGGTGCAAAGCACTGCTGGGAAGGAAATAAACGAGAGAGAAAAAGTTTTGGAAAGAAAGAACACGAGATCCACTTAGGGTAAACTGAGTTAGAAGGAACTGCAAGACGTTGAAATATGCAGATGAGTACGTGGGTCTGAAGCTCAGTTGGGCCATAGCTGGGCTCAGTGTCAACCAGGCTATCACTGTAGCTCTGGCCAATCAGGCTGGTGGACTGCTGGGAGCTGGACCTCAACAGCACCTCACTCTCCATGGCCCAGCAATCCTCAAGTTTCATTTTTTTTTTTTAAAGATTGGGAAAGAATGAGTAGCACTCCAGATAAAGATTCTCCAGCATCTTGAGGATCTCAAGCAGACTGTTCTGTCTTTCTAGGGTCTAAAAAAATCTGAAACATACTTTCCCCATGCCCTACTCGGTCTCTTCCTCCTAGGAGGGGAGTGACTTGAGCTGAGATGACTTTGAGACAGGAGTCGTCCTCAAGTCTTGCCTCCCTGTCCTTCAAGCTTTGCTGGGGACTGGGGACGTGAAGGGCAGTGAAGTGCCAGTGCTGGAGTAGGAAGCGTGACGCATCTGCTGCGGCTGGTGCCTCTGTGCTTCCAGGTTGTGGCCCGTGTTCCACTGGTAGTTCATGAAATGTTAGTGAGAACATTGAGAAAATTAATATAGTTTTATATTCTGTTTTTATTAATAGTAATGTATTTGAAATAAATAGTTCTTATAGCCTATAATATAACAGTTGTATCAGGAATTATAACTTCAAATACCTTTAAAGAAAACACTAGTTTCAAATAAATGGGATGTCATTTAATCTTTTGTATTACAAAGGATACATTTCTCTCCTACACTCACATCAGCACAAAGGAATCCATCAGAAGCTGAGAGCAAGTGGGAAGTGATTAAAGAAACCGTGAGTTTCTCTTTCATTCAACTTCTTTGTGACTGTCTTTTTCTCTTCTACTTCTATCAAGGAGGATGGTTAGTGTCACCAAATTCAGGTCCCTATAGGAAGAGACAACCAGCCTCACAAAGATCAGAAGGATCCTGGGGTCCTCTCTCTGCTTGTCCTCTGTATACATGTGAGGCAGAGAAAAGAGGAGCATCAAAGCAGAGTCAGGTCAGGCTGAACTCAAGGAGTCTGTAACCTAAGCATCTAGTTCCAAGGGTGATACTTCCTTCTAGACCAGGCTGCCCCCTCTACTTCCCCTGCAGGGCAGTGGTCCCATTTGCAGGATTTCAGATGAGGCATCCCGGAGCTCAGCTCTCTGGAGGAGTATCAGTACAGGACTCCGCCCAGTTACCGGGCGTAGCTCTTTGATGAACCACGTTACGTTTCATCAACAGCAGTGTTCTCTTTACTTCTCTCATGAGTCTCACACCCCTTCTCAGAGCTACTGCTCCATCAGATAATCTACTTCATTTGGAGACAGGGCTCCCCATATGATTTGATTTGGGTGAGAATATTGTCTAGAAGTTCTAGAAGCATCTAAGATCTGTTGCCCGAGCACACTGGTAGAGAAAGCCTGTTTTGGAAGCCAGCAGAACCATTCCCAGGGATAGATTCCTATGCCTGGAACCAGTATTCCAGGGCTTTTGTTATTAGTGCACAAGCAGTAACCCATCCACGAGGCAGCTTTAGTCACTGCCTTGGCTTGGCAGCATTTTCCTTGTGGCCTCCTACTGACATCCAGGCCAACGATTGCTGTGCCCTACAAAGGAAGCTCCAGTCCACGCTTGAGTGGAACTAGAGGACCTGCTCCTAGCCTTACAGAACTATCCTGTGGTTGATTGCAAGACAAATGATTTTCATAGCTGGAGACACCATCAGGCCACTTTCCTACCATGCCCAAATCAGCTGCCCAACAACAGAGCGGAATCTGAACCTCCGAGTCACTATCCACTGAGGACACCATACAAAGACACCGGACCTTCTTGGGGAGGCCTAGTGTTGTCTGTGAGCTAAAATGAGTTCCTTTGGCCTGTGGTACAAATACTCTTAATTGGAAGCTCAAAATCCTAAGGCCTTTTCATCTATGGACATCAATTGGCAGTTGACAATAATTGCCACTTTTTGCTTTTGAGCAACGAATCAGGGTTCTGTCATGGTGACATTTTGTCCTTGGAGGATGCCTGAAGCAGGCTGAGGTCACAGACTCAGTTTGATTTATTTTGGGAGAAGCTTCCAGCTGAGAAGAAAGTCAGCTCTGCGGGCCTTTTGTGCTTCTCTTATACGACAGAAAAAAAAAAAAAGCACTTCTTGCTCAAAAGCCACCAAATACAGATGTCAAATATGGGGTGGGAGTGGGGAATGTAGTGGCAAAACTTTGGTTTCATGTTTGACATCAGAGGTCAAGCAAAATGAGTTTTGGTGACAATGTGGTGATATGGGTCCAAGGAGTCCCCAGATAAGACCAGAAAGAGATAGCGGGACAGCAGGACTACCAGCAGGACCGCCAGAGATCAAGAAGAGATCTCTATGCCTTTTCAGCAGCTTTCAGAGATTCTCCAGCCCAGAAGTTCCCTCAGTGAACTTCCTTTGATCCATTCACAACTCAGGCCTCAGACACTGGGCATGGTGTTTCATGAACCAGGGATGACCATGGCCTTGCAGAGAATGGTTCCTTTTCCAGATAATCACTATTTTGTGGACAATATTAAAATATTGTGAGCTACTTCATGGGCTTGGCTGTGTCTAAGGACTTCTTCTGTGCCTATAAGTGTCTGTATTCTTCAAGGTCACAGCAGAGTGAGGAACTGGTCCACTTCTAACAGGAGGATGGTGGCAGAAGACTTCTGGGAAGGAGAAGAGTGGAGCTTAAAGTAAATACGGTGAGCTCTGTGCCCCAGACATCAGGGGGACAAGTGACCAGGAAACCAAATCACACCAGGTATTCTCAAACCCATACCATAAAAAAAAAACAAAAAACACAGAACCACAAGTGAACTTGTGTTGACCATATATGATTCAGGTCCCACCAGTCCTAGCTCAAAAACTTCAAGGTAAGAAAACCAACTCCTTGACATGACAAAATTATTCCTTGAATGTTGGGTACACAAGGTAAGAGAGAGCCTGTGACAGCCTGTGTCTGATCCCACCCCGTTCTGGCCCACATAATCTCATACTGTACAACCTGCACCCTTGAGCATATAAAAGTCATCAAGGCTCCAACCAGCACCATTCCCACAGAACAGCATTGTAAGAAACACACAGGACCAGAACAGAAATGAACTACAACTTGTAGTGAAATGAAAGCTGCCTTGAAAGTACTAGGAACAAATAAGTCACCAAGGGTAGATGGCATATCAATAGAATTATTTCAACACAAAGACTGAAGCTCTCAAAATCCTAAGAAGCATATGCCAACAAGCATGGAAAACAAAACAATGGCCTACAGGCTGGAAACACTCAATACACATCCCAATCCCCAAGAAAGGAGAGGCTGAGCAGGGCAGTAACTATAGGACGACCGCCCTAACTTCCTGTGCAAGCGAAGTGACACTGAAGATGCTGCAGCAAAGCCTTTTTACCTCCAATGGAGCAAGAAATGCCTGATGTCCAAGCTGCGTTTTGAAAAGGGCGAGTCACACGAGATCTAATTGTGACTATTCATTGGCTACTGGAGTGCTCCAAAGAATTTAAGGGTCATCTGTTTTATAGACTACAGTAAAGGCTTTAACTACATGGATTATGAGAAGCTATGGGATGCTCTCAAAGAGCTGGGCGAGCCTCAGCACTTTCCTGTCCTGGTGTGTAACCTGTACTGTAGACAAGAACCCATGGTCAGGACGGAATATGGCGAGACAGAATGGTTTCCTATAGGCAAAGGTGTCAGACAAGAGTGAATTTCTCTCTGTTTAGTCTTTACACAGATCAAAAAGCTAGGCTAGATTCAGACAAAGGAGGAGTGAAATTTGGAAGAAGTATGAACAATCTAAGACAGGCAGATGATGCCATCTTCCAGGCAGAAAGCAGCAATGACTTGAAACAACTTCTGATAAAAGTGAAGGAAGAAAGTGCCAAAGCAGGACTGCATTCAAACATCAAGATGACGAAAATCATGACTACCGAAGAATGCACAACTTTAATAATGTCAATGTCTTCGTTGTCTAGGTTAAAGATTTTGTTTACTTTGGTTTAGTCATCGATTTAAATGGAGACTACAGCCAATAAATTGAGAGAAGACTGAGACTCAGAAGGGCAGCAATGAAAGAATTAGGAAAGACCATCAAGTGTAAGGAAGAGTCATTCGAGACCAAGGCCAAGATTATCCACACCCTCGTATTCCGAATTGCTATGTATGGGTGTGAAAACTAGACAGTGAAGAAGGCTAACAGGAAAAAAATGGATTCATTTGAAATATGACATCGGAGGAGAGCTCTATGGATCCCCTGGACTGCCAGAAAGATGAACAAGTGAGTCCTAGAGCAAATTGAGCCTGAACTAGTGCTGGAGGCAAAAAAAAAAATGCTACAACTGAGGCTGTTCTACTTTGGGCACATTGTGAGAAGGCAGGATTCTTTGGAAAAAACAGTACTTCTGGGAGAAGTACAAGGCAGCAGGGAGAGGGAGACCAAATATAAGATGGCTGTCTCCATAAAGGCAGCCATAGGCAAGAGTCTACAGGAGCTGGGTAGGGCTGCTGAGGATGGGACATTGTGGACATCACTCATTCACAGGGTCACCAGGAGTCAGAGCTGACTTGACGACATGTAACACAAAACTTGTATGGCAGATGTGGAGGTGTGCTGCTGAGACCTCCCTCCAAGAATAAACTTGCCATTCAGCTAAGCACCTCCCCGTTAGGTCTTCAGGTTCTGCTGAGCTTTTGAGTTGAGGCCACGTTCTTCCCAATGACCAAGCAGGGTGGGGTGCTAAGGCCTGACCACATATATAGGACTTCCCTAATGGGTAATCTTTGCTCTTGAGCTCCAACTTGGATTGTCTGAGACTGTGTCATACTTGCACTCTGCCCCAAGCCCTTTGTGTCCACCTCTGCTTCCTTTCCTTCTGTTGCTCACGGGTGTTACCCCAATAAACCTCTTGCATTCCTGACTCCATCTCAACTTCTACTCTGGAAGTCTTAACTGACACGGTTGATACCAGGAGTGGTCTGAAAAAGTAGCAGGTAAGAAGGGGTTTGGGGACTGAACCAGGGAACCCTCCTGGGTTAATAGGGGACATGAATGGTCATTGGCATGAGGCAGTGGCCAAGCTTCTAAAACCTTCACTGGTAGTGACTTGGGAGAGTATCCTTGAGGGAGGGAATATCAAGGCTGGTGTGATGGTTCAGGCATTTGGGGGATTGGAATTGACTGGGTGTTAAGTGGCAGTGCTGCTCTCGGGGACACTGAAGAGTGGAGGGCAGTTAAACAAGTGAGAAGTGTATGGAGGCCAGAGTATCTCCTTAGGTCACAAAGGGGCCTCCATTTTTACAGTGGGAGAGCAGAAAAAGCTGAAGACCAAACTTAAGGCTTAGCAGTAAGATTTTATAAGTTGTGGAGTCAAATGAAAGCTCAAGTGAGGCAGGTTTGCTTTGTCAAATATGGGATGGGGCTATCTGGGAGGTGTCCTTGAAGATTTTGGCTCCCCAGACTCTCCTGGCCCCTCAGAGCCTACAGAGGTGGTCCCCCTCCCTATCAGCTGACACTCCCCCCAGCATCCTGCACTTCAAGTGTGGGAAGACACTGCAGAGACTTCTCTGCAAGGCACAAGGGACCCAATGGGTTCCACTTCCTCTCCTGGCCCCCAGGCTGAAAACTAAGGATAAGTCGTAGTATAACCCAGCCAGGAAGGTGCTGTGCCTGATAACAGGAAATGGACCATTCTCCCAATGAGCTGCAAGAGTTAGCATGAACTCATAGGAGCTGAGGGAGCAGGCTGGAACTGGAATTCGAGGGATCTTGATTGAG